CATAGGTTTCGTTATACGATTTCTCCCCCTTCCCAATGTGTTAATGTGGGTTGCATGTGCTTGCTATGTGTTATGTGTGCATGATACCCCAATTTGGTTGCGATCAAATTGGTTATACGGGCAGTTGGATGGGTTGAGAACCATACTGACTGTTAACCAGGCCGGTTGTGATCGGTCAGGTATATAAATATTATATAGGGTTGCGGTCCACCGTTTGGTTGCGATCAAACGTTTTACATGAGCTGCGGTTCATTTTCCTGGCTGCGGTCAGATGACATACTCTTGGGCTGCGGTCCACTGTTTGGTTGCGATCAAACTATGATGAGCTGCGGTTCATCGGTCGGTTGTGATCGACCCCTCCGTGTTGCGATACGGGGCAGGGTGCTGCGGGGCCGTGTCAGAACTATATGCGCTGACCCTCATGTATGGGCATGCGATTGGTCCTGTGGCGCCAACAAAGTGTGCTTATGTGATGAGATATGGATAATATTGTTTAGGAATGATTACAAAGACTTGCATGCATGTCCAATATGCGGGGCATCTCGTTATAAAACAAGAGAGAGTGGTAAAGTACGTTTGAAAAGTCCACCAGCTAAAGTTTTGTGGTATCTCCCAATTCTTCCAAGATTTAAGCGCATGTTTGCAAATCCAAGCGATGCGAAGAACTTAACATGGCATGTAGATGAAAGAATTTCTGATGGCAAGCTTCGACACCCGGCTGATTCTTCTCAATGGATAACATTTGATAATGCATTTCCTGAATTTGGCCACGAGTCAAGAAATCTTAGACTTGGACTTTGTACTGATGGTATTAACCCCCACGGGAACCTAAGTAGCAAGCATAGCTCATGACCAGTTATGTTGATAATTTATAATCTACCCCCGTGGTTGTGTATGAAACGCAAATACACATTATTATGCTTGATGATTTCTGGGCCAAAACAACCCGGTAATGATATATATAATTGGTTGTGTTTGTGAATAGGGGTATTTACATTAGTTTTGAGTTGGCATCAAAAGACATGTATGGCTTCCTAGATCCATATTGGATTCAACCACAAATGAATAATATAGAGGACAGGAAATCGTATATAAATGCCACCATGCAGTCTGGGAAGAAATTTGTATACTTAGCCCCATATGTTCTCAAGTAAGTATTAATTGCGTTTTAAATAAAAATACTTATATATAATATATTTTTATTATATATTATATTCACTTAAAGCTAATAAATATTTATTTGTAGTGAGCATTGGATGTTGATGGCGATTTGTCCTGGACTAAATGAAATTTTTTGGTTTGATTCACTTGGTCATGGGCCGCGTGAAGACATTAAACATATAATGGAAACGTATGTAGATTTATATAATTAATTAATAGTTATCATTAAACTAGTGATGCCAAGTATTTATATACATTTTATGTCTTACATTAATAGGTGTATGACTGCAACAAACATGATGAGTGGAAAGAAACAAAATCGTTCACCAAAATGGACTATATGTTCGGTAAGTACTTCATTCACTTTGTAAAACATGCAAACTTATTGTTTTTTATTAATTTATTTTAATTTTATTGTAATTCAAATGTAGTGTGCTATACAAAAAGGAACCACCGAATGTGGTTGTTATGCGATGAAGTTCATGTTGGAAATTGTTTCCAACAACCTAAGCAAATGAATGGATAAGGCAAGTAATTTAATAATATATCTTTTTTCTTCAAATGTTTAAAAATACTTGCTTATTTATTATTTTTATTTCTTTTGAACTTTGTAGGCTTTGGAAAGACAAGGAAGATTTCCCTACAACAAACAAGAGATTGATGAAGTTAGGGACAATTGGTCTAAGTTTCTTATTGATGAATGAGTTAATAAAACGCTTCTTAGTTGATACTTTACGTTTAAAATTAGTTTAAGTTTATTGGCTTGATGTTTAGTAGTTTTGTTGAATTGTGTTACTTATATTAGTTTTATGTTTAGTAGCTTGAATTAGTATAATGAATTGTGTTCTTTATATTAGTTTCATGTTTAATAGTTTGAATAGTTTAATTAATTAGTTGAGGTTGAATGTTAAATTGCTAGCTGCGCAAGATCTGAAAATTGATACAGGTTGGGGTAGAAACCATAAAACAATTATAATATAAAAAAAGTATATATACGACGTCGGATATTTACTAAATATCCGACGTCGTATTATTTATAAAAAAAAAATTAATAATAACATACGACGCCGGCTTTTAGGGTAAAGCCGACATCGTATAGTTTTTAAAAATTAAATTAATTAACATACGACGTCGGCTTTTCCTAAAAGTCGACGTCGTATGTTAATTATTTTTTTTAAAAAATAAAAATAAATACCATACGACATCGGCTTTATCCTAAAAGCCGACGTCGTATGTTAATTAATTTAATTTGAAAAAAATACGACGTCGGTTGTTTAACCGACGTCGTATCATTTACTTACTACGTCTCTAAATTCGACGTCGAAAGATAACCGACGTTAAATGGGGTATTTTAACCGACATTAAAGTCGTTTTCTGTAGTAGTGCATAGAAAATAATTTAGGCTGAAATCTGATGAGAGTCATTTGATAGGAGACGGTCCAGCATAAAATCATATAAAATAATTCAATTCTAACCCTTTAATTTGATAATTAAATTAGCTAATTTATATTAAGGATTTAATGTGTATCACTTGTACGCTTACAAAAATAAACAAATCTTTAGTCCACCACATGCATCTATCATCTAATTATCTGTTAGTGGAGTGTTCTTAAAAGATGCATGAAATATTGTTAGGATCAAGCACTAGATCAACACTTCTAAAAGCTATTATAACTAGTACAGTGAAGGTGCAACTTTATTTCTTTACTTATGGACCGCCATCACATCGTTTGAAATACTGGGTGCTGGACTTGGCCTTTTTTACCCCCTTCGTCCAACAATCCCCCACCAGGTACTAAATTTAGCCTTTTACCAACTTCCGCCCAACAAATATTTACACGTACCGATTTGAGATGGGAATGCCATTCTGTATCCCTTGCTTGTGCACCAGCCATATTTTGTATAACGAGTAACTATACATATCAATTTTGTTCAGACTAATATCTTGAACCGTACATTACTGAATTGAGATGTTTTTGGTGATTAATAAATCATTTCCTAGTACTGAAGCTAAGAAAATAAGCTTAATATTTAAAAGCTGCAACAAATTTGCAGAAGCTAAGCATAAAAGGAGAAGAAATTGTGAAGGAAATAGAGAAATAGCTAAGCAGTAAAAGAGAAGAAATTTAGTCCCTGAGTTATAACCAAATTCCAACTCAGTCCCTAAATTATGGTAGTATCCAAGTTTAGTCCCTCAGTTATGAACAAAGTGATGAGTTTGGTCCCGAGCGTTAATATTCTGTCTACAACTAATAGAAAACTTAAAAATAATTTAATAATAGAGCGGTAAAATAGGAATTTTAAATTATAAGAAGGGAATTATAATTTATCCAACAATTTCCCAACCACTGGGTGTTAAATTTGGCCTTTTACTGGCCTCCGCCTAACAAATATTTACACCGCTTTGAGATGGGAATGCAATTTTGTATCCCTTGCTTGTGCTCCAGCCATATTTTGTATAAAGAGTAACTCTACATATCAATTTTGTTCAGACTAATTTCTCGAACCGTACATTACTGAATTGAGATGTTTTTGGTGATTCATAAATCATTTCCCCGATGCACTTCTTATATTTCGTTGTATTGAAGCTAAGGGAATAAGCTTATTATGTAAAAGCTGCAACAAATTTGCATAAGCTAAGCAGAAAAGGTGAAGAAAATAGAGAAATAGCATTAATAAAAACAATATCCAGAATGATTCTGCAAATACACCAAACAGAGATTGTAATGACAGAAAAGAAAAAATAATGAAACAAACTCCTAAGCTAGCTTGTTGTTCTTCTCCTGCTCAAGAAAGCAGAGAATTTCTCGGCTGGCAACGTCTCCCAAAGCTACTATTTCTTCAAACCATGCCATTCCATCATGCTAGCTCTGATCTCAAGAATACCAGGCCAGATTAATCTTCAGTTCATCACAGATTACATCAACAAGGTTTTCCTTGCTTTATTTAATTCACCAACAACATCACGAATCTTCATTCTATCTGCTGGGAATTCCACAGAACAAGCAACCCCAACTTTGATCATACAAACAAAGCACACATCAAATTTGTCCTTCTCCTCGCTGGATTTCCCTTTCTTCCTCATTTGTATTTGTTCATCTCTTTCTTGGAGAATTTTTGGATCTGCAATCTCCACTTCTCTGTCTGCTAAACCAGCCTTAGCGTAGCTATGAAGGTTTAAGCCGTCTTTGAACAATTCATCTGTAGGGCTCTTCCCAGTGAGCATTTCCAAGATTAGTATGCCAAAGCTATATACATCACCTGCTTTTGATGGCCTGCTTCCCAAACCATATTCTACTCCAAAAATGAAACAAAAAAAAAAATGACTATCCAAATGTAGATTACAAGAGTAAATGCATTAGAAAGTAGAAAGAAACTTGGAGAAGTTTTTAGGCATTAGTGTGAATTATAAAACTTACCTGGAGGTGTATATCCCAGCGTTCCTTGTACTCCTATAGAACTATGGTCGTTTGATGAAGAGATTTGAATCCTTTGTTGTAGAAATCTTGCCACTCCAAAATCACTTACATGTGCACTCATGTTTTTATCCAGGAGAACATTACTCGGCTTGAGATCGCAATGGATTATTGCAGGTTCACAATCATTATGAAGATAATCCAAAGCGCATGCCACATCAATGAGAATGTTTAACCTTTCAACAAAAGTTAACCTCCTATTGTCTTCAATCTCGGGATTCTCTTGCGGACTAAAATGCAACCAGTTTTCAAGGTTTCCATTGTCCATGTATTCGTAAACTATAGCCTTAAAATCATTTCCTTGAAGATCAAACCCTGAGCAAGCAGTTAGCACCTTGACAAGATTGCGGTGTCGGGTGTTTTTCAACACCTCACACTCAGCAACAAAACTTTGAGAAGCTCCACGGTGTAAAGATCAAGTACTTTCACTGCAAAAACAGTTCGATCATGATCAAAAGATCCTTTATATACAGCTCCAAAACCGCCAACTCCTAGTAAATTTTCTTCAGAGAACCCATTAGTGCACTTGAAGAGGGAATGATATGACACTCTTAAGATTGGGTTTTCTATCAAATTAGGAAAGGGTCCTTTTCTTTGTCTTCGTAACCATCTATGACAGAGAATAAACACTACAACAGTTAGCCCAACAATCCCAAAAATCAGAGGAATTACTATTTTCAAGTAACCTTCTGAATTCTTCTTTTTGGACTTTGTCGTATTGCATTCAGGGAGTTTCAGCTCAGGTATACCCCCACAGAGCTTTTTATTTGCTGCAATTGAAATAGAGCTTGTGTTGTTGAAGATTCCTGTGGTTGGTACTGCTCCTTCAAACTCATTGTATGAAAGATTCAAATTCTGTAAAAATTTGAAGTCTTTCAAGAAAGTTGGGATTTGACCAATCAAATGGTTGTGAGAAAGTTCTAAGAATTCCATACCCCTAAGATTTGCCAAAGCTGGTGGAATTGGGCCTTCAAGATTGTTATTTGTTAGATTCAAGATTTCCAAGTAAACGCAACTACCAAGCTCGGGTGGAATAGGGCCTGACAATGAATTATAAGATAGATCCAAAATCCCTAGATTTTTCAAATACCGAACCTCTTTTGGAATGGAACCTATGAACTGATTGTGGGAGAGATCTAAAAACAATGACAAGGATGAGAGTTGAAGAACTTCCTTAGGGATGTGCCCACTAAGGTTGTTGTGAGAAAGATCTAACAATTCTAGGCTTTGGCATTTTCCAAGACTTGCAGGAATAGTATCATGGAGGTAGTTTCCTCCTAAACCAAGCTTTAATAAAAGGGTTAGGTTTCCTAAAGAAGGTGGAATTTTTCCAAAAAAATTGTTTTCAATTAATCCCAAAAGTCTCAGATTACCAAGATACCCAATCTCAAGTGGAATTTCTTCACTGATTTTGTTCTGAAACAATAGTAATACTTGCAAGCTGATGAGATTAGAAATCCCACTTGGGATGAATCCTGAAATCTGATTGCCGCAAAGGGAAAGATATATAAGGTTTCTTGAAAGGTTAGTGATTGATGTAGGCAATAAACCTCCAAAATTATTACCACAAAGGTCTAACGTTTCTAAGCCGGTTGCATTGCCCAATGAAGAAAGGAATTTCAAATCAAAAACATTCCCTTCCCCAAGATGGTTACTTCCTGCCGTAAATTCCTGTAGTTTTTCCAACTTTCCAAGGTCAGGAACTTTTCCAGTTAGTTTATTTATACTTGCAAAGATGTACACTATGTTTGTTGCATTGGATAATGTAATAGGAATATTTCCTGTGAAATTGTTCCCATGAATAGCAAAATAAATAAGGCGGGGAAGTGTGATAAACATGTCTAAGGGCAAAGTTCCCTCTAAGTAATTGATGCCCATATCAATACCCAACATGGATGAATGGTTGAATAGAGAAGGGGGTATAGTGCTGCTGAAATTATTTTCTCTGACTAAAAGGTCACGTATTTCAGGTAATCTACATAGAGAATCAGGTATTTCCCCAAATAAGTTGTTAACGGAGACGGAAAAAGTATTAAGCAGTGAAAGATTTCCTAAAGAATGGGGGATTTTACCACTAAGGTTGTTGTGATAAAAAGAAAGGAATCGAAGATTAGTTAGGGTGCCGAACTCTGATGGAATGTTGCCTGCAAGATTGTTGAATGAGAAATCTACAAATTGCAGGTTTTTACATGCAGAAATATTTGACGGTATAAACCCACTAAATGAGTTATTGGTGAAAAGCAAAATTTGTAATCTATGTAAATGACTGATGTCTTGTGGGATGTCACCTGAAAAACTATTGTTTCGACGGTCCAAAGCTTTGAGAAAGCTCAAGTTCCCAATGTGTGAAGGCAGTGATCCCACCAATTTCAGGGACGTGAGGTTTAAGGACACGACTCTCAGGTGGCGGCGGCCACACAAAACACCAGGCCACCCACAGAAATGGATGGTTTCATTCCACGAGGCCATGACACCAAACGGATCATCTTTGATCATGTTTTTGAATTGAAGAAGTGAGATAATGTCGGTCTCATTGCCTGGTAGCTTGGAGGAAGATGAAATAAGGGCAGATCCTAAAAACAAGAAAGTGAAGAAATACAGAGAAAGGATAGGCTTAGTGGAAAAGAAATGGCAGGTTAGCATAAATTTTAGCAGGCTGGATACCTGTTTACATGACAGCTGAGTTGACATTTTTAATAATTTTTAATAAACATTAAAAAATTGAAGGAAGAGGGGGATGGTCGGTGGCCACCCCGTCGTTTTTTTTTTTTTTTTTTTTTTTTTAATTTTAAAATTTATTATTAAAATTTATTATAATTATTTAAAAATTATTAAAAATGTCAACTCAGCTGCCACGTAAGCAGGTAACCTGCTATCAGGTGAAATTGCATACATTAAGAGTGTTCAGTGACCTAATTACACTTTTTTTTTCGTTTAGTGGCCTAATTGCATTTTCAGGTTACGTTCATTGGTCAATTTGAACCTTATTCCTAAATGTCACAATATAATTTAATTTGATATCAACAAATTTCACTTTTAGTCATTGGCTATTGTGTTATTAATATTCAACGATGACACAATCATTATTTCATGGACCATGCATTGTTAATAAAAGCGTGTAGACCATAAATAAAAAGTATATTTTTAATATACTAAAAGTACATTATTTGAATATTAAAAATACATTATTTTGTATAATATCAAATAATGTACTTTTAATATATTAAACATGTACATTGTATTCATCGTCGACTAGAAAAAAATTGCCTTGAAGACATAGGCTTACACAACCCAATAGACCCATTGATGATGAAGTCCATGAAGACAAATTATAGGATAAACTAAAGGTGTAAACGAGCCGAGCTGAGCTCGATAAATAATAGGTAAGCTCGAGCTTGAAAGTTGAAGCTTGAGCTCGGCTCGGTTATGAAACGAGCTGGTTCGTGAGCCACTCGACTGTAATTTTATATATATATATATATATATATATATATATATATATATATATATATATGGTTGAGTTCAAGTGAGAACCACTATATTATAGAGGACTATGCGCTATGCGGACTGGTGTAATCATGTGCCATTAGTGTGTATGTCATGTGCCTGGCCTATTGTAGTCGTGTGCCACAGTTTGTATGTTGTGTGCATAGGTTTGTTAATTAATAGAGCATGTCTTTGAAACCTGATGTTTACATGTATTCTTGTGTGCCATTGTGTATTAAATCGTGTGCATGATACTAATTTGTTGTGTGTCCGTAATCAGTCCGCACAGTCCTCTATATATTGTTGTCCTCATATGAACTCAACCCTATATATATATATATATATATATATATATATATATATATATATATATATATATATATATATATATATATATATATATGGTTAGCGAGCGGCTCGACGACCCACGAGTCTAAAATATTTGAGCTCGAGCTCGGCTCGATTACGAAATGAGCCAGCTCGAGCTCGAAGTTAATCGGGCTGCTAGCGAGTTGCTCGGCTTATTTACACCCCTACGATAGACTAAGGTCTACTTTGCAGTGTGGCAACCATTATTGCATGGGTCGTGGTCCACACGATCCAAAATGGCGTCGTCTCCTCATTTAAGAAGAGACGATACCATTAACTCCATCCACTATTGCAACATATATTTCTATAACTCATAAAGTACATTAATCTAAAGCATAAAATATATTATTGTAACTCATAAAGTACATTATCTTACCCTAGAAGGTTCATTATTTTAACACATATACATAAAGTTCATTATTATAACTAATAAACTACATTATTTTAATTCATAATGTCCATTATCTAAACACATTAGGAGTAGAGAATGTGAGTCCACATACATAATAGGAGTCTTACAAGGGACAAATTAAACAAAACCAATAGAAAATATATACACGAAACTCCACAGTTGGTCTTGTGATTCTATCCAACACAGAACAAACTACCAAACTAGACCACTATCACAGGAAGCCAAATTAAAAATTTTGTACTTACCAAACTAATTGTATAACGAATTCCGCTGAAGTTGCTATTAGAATAAATATTTTGTATGGACCATTGGGTGAGTTTGTAAAGCCATGAATTTCTATCAACTAATTAACTGCCTGTGGAAATAAAAGAATTTTATTTCTCCATTGATATTTGCTAAAAGCTACGTAGCACCAAAATAGAAACAAGAAATTGGAAATGGTCCTTTGCGAATATGACAAATTAAAAAAATGTGAGAAACCAAATGTTAGAAAAAGGTTTATAATAATTATAATAAGTATAGGAGGCGAACGAACTTGTGGTCTAGTGATATGTAGTGACTCTTAACTTCTAAATGGGAGGTGATAGGTAGTGGGGGTGGTATTGACTCTTTGTGCTTCAAAAGGTTATTACATTGTAATAGAGTCTTTAGTATTCAAATAATAATAATAATAATAATAATAATAATAATAATAATAATAATAAGTATAGGGGTATATATTTGTAAATATATTTTCTAAATATGCATAAATATTATTTGCCATCAATGGTGTCATTCTTTCCAAAAGGTTAAACCCCAACCCGGCCCGACAGAGCATTTGGGAGGATGTAAATCATGGTATATCAACTGAACATGAACCACAGAGGCTAGACCTTTGCTTACTGCGCACAAGGAGCCCTCTCACTTTGAGAGGTTACTCTCATACTGCCGCTGGTGGGACTCGCGCAAATTATGCCCTGGAAACGTGTTCATCTGGAAACGTGTTCACCATGAATGATGAACACGGATCCAAACGATGTCGTTTTTACGGAAATTTTTTTTTATAGTTAATGTGCTGTTAACGGCGCGCGTTTGTTCAGATTATGAATTTTCTGTTATGAGATTATGAATGTACTGTAAATTCATAATCTCATAACAAAAAATTCATAATCGCATAAAAGAAAAACATTTATTAAATTATGAATTTTCTGTTATGAGATTATGAATTTACTGTAAATTCATAATCTCATAACAGAAAATTCATAATCTCATACCAGAAAATTCACAATCTCATAACAAAAAATTCATAATTTCATAACAGAAAATTCATAATCTCATAAAAGAAAATTCATAATTTCATAACTGCACATCCATAAATCAATGTCTGCACATTCATAATTTATGAATATTGAAGAAACTTGTGCGAAGAGGAAGTGAAACCGCGAAATGTGAAAATGAAGAATAAAAGTCGCGCGGTTAATTAAGAAAAAAAAAAAGAGATAATGATGCACCGTTACCGTTGGACCGTGTTCACCATGGATGGTGAACATGTTCCATGGCATAACGATTGTGGAACTCGATCCCTGGTCATTCTTTCCAACTTTCACCTTTATGGCCACTTGAGCTGCCCATGCGAGCCATCAATGGTGTCATGAAAGAGTGGTAGGAAGGGCACTACATGAATGTCACAACGCACAAGAAAGCTATCTGTAATGTAATTTATTTGTATTTATATGATGCGATCCATCAATTATGTCGGGAAAATAAACTCAAAATAATGTATTTTCCTTGGAGGAAATTAAGGATCTTGATTATCGGAGAAGAGGAAATAAAAAATAATATTCCACTTCAATTTTTGTACCACCTCAAATAAACCCCTCAATTTTATTTTATTTTTTTTCTGAAAGCTATTTATGTGGATTTTGGTTCCAAAATAAAAATTTTGACAACACCCAAATGTATTCTTTTGATGTCCTTTCGTTTTCATCAACAAACTGGAGAGACCGGCATAACCATTTGCACACTGCACTCATCTACTTACAACAATGGTATCATGTAAGAATCCCTGGGAGGGCACTACATGAATGCGACAACCTAAGATAGCTAGCTGTAATATGATTTTTTTTTTTTAATTCGTTTTTATCCGATACAACTTTGCTTTTACCATTACTAGTAATTTCACCCGTGCGATGCACGGAATGGAATTGTTGTAATATATTAAGAATATTTAAATCGATATATAATTATTTAAGAGTTAATTTCACCAGAGGTCGCTTATCTTTCCTGACAATTCCAAATTTAATCCTAGACTATAGTTATTAATTTTATTACGATTTATTCTATGTTATAATTCTTACGTTAATATTCTTACTATTATTATTAACACTTAATTACTTTTAGATATTATTATTACCACTTATATTATTATTACTAGTATTTTTTATGCGCGATGCGCAAAAACTAAGTGCCCAATATTAATACATTATATTAAAATTTTAAATTTATTTAGATTTTAGATATTTAAATTATTCTAAATAATAATAATAATGTAAATTATTTTTATAAATTTGATATTTATATTTTATGTAATAATTAACATATAACTCAAATATATAATGTGTATATATTATTATTAATGAAGAAGATAAGAAAATATATGGTGGATGCATGTGCATGGTAACAATAGTGGAAAAGATAACAGAAGTTATAACGGTAGGGGTATGTTTGTCCAAAATTATTATTATTAGTTTCTTTTCAAGTTCTGTTAGTATATAATGGCCGTGAGGCACAATAATAATATAACCATAATTAAATATTCTTGTATTGTATTCCGTGAGTCACAATAATAATATAAAAATAATTAAATATTCTTCAATTCTATATTCTTCTAGGATTTCTATTACCATCATTAATTATTCCCTAATTTACCATAATTAAATAATTTGACCAATTATAAAGAAAGATTATTAAATAATGCACTGGACAATTTTTTAATTAAAAATTTTAAAAATTCATTAATAAAACATAATGTTCTCATAGTCTTTTCTTAGAAACTATTTAATAAAGCATTTTTTTTGTAGAAATTGGTGGGCCAAACCGCCTACGCAAGGAAAGTGGGACCAAGTTAACAGACACTACCCAATACAGAAAGCTAGTTGGGAAACTCCTATACCTCACTATAACAAGGCCAGACATCAGTTTTGCAACACAACAACTATCTCAGTTCCTAGACTGCCCAACAGACATTCATTTACAAGCAGCTCACAGGATTCTCAGGTATATTAAAGGGACACCTGCCCAAGGTCTTTTATTCCCAACTAATAATCTGCTTTGTTTAAAGGGCTTTTCTGATTTAGATTGGGCTGCTTGCCCAGATACTAGAAGATCAGTATCTGGTTTTTGTATATTCTTGGGATCAGCTTTGATTTCTTGGAAGGAAAAGAAACAATTAACTGTATCTAGGTCTTCTTCAGAAGCTGAATATAGAGCAATTGCTGCAACTTCTTGTGAGATCCAATGGTTATGTTACTTGTTGAAAGCCATAGAAGTTGATATGCCCACACCTGCTATCTTGTTCACTGATAGTAAGTCAGCATTGGCCATTGCTGAAAATCCTGTATTTCATGAGAGAACAAAACACATTAAGCTGGATTGCCATTTCATAAGGGAGAAATTGCAGAATGGAATAATCAAGTTGCTACATGTTTCATCCCAAAATCAGCTGGCTGATGTATTCACTAAACCTCATGCTCCAAACAGTTTCTTTTCTTTCATAGCCAAGCTTGGTCTACATAATATGTATGATCCAGCTTGCGGGGGATAATAGAAGATAAGCAAGCCAAATCAGCCAAAGATAGACAACCAGCAGAGCAGAACAAACAATCCTTTTTCTGTTATTTCAGTTAGTTGCAGTTAGTAGTAGTTAGTTGGTTAGCAGCAGCAGTTCTGTTCTATCTTCTTGTATATAAACCTTGTTCTTCCTCTGTAATGAATGATGAGACTTTCTTCTTCAATTGACCTCCTTTCCCTTCTAAATCTTGTCAAAATCTGGAAGCATATCTTCTCCAAACAGTAAAATTAAAGTGCATAATCTTACCAACACAATATGAGAATTGTCCTAAAGCTTAAATAAATGGTATTGATTCAATGTCCTCTACATAAGGAGAGGAAGTTCTCAGACCCAACAATAAAATGAAATCATTCATGGTACACCATGTGAAGAATAATTGTTAGTATACCTATGGTGCCACCCAGTTCTATGACAAAAACGTCAGCTGGGGCCATCTTTTCCATCAACAAGAATGACTGCTATGCGTTCAATCCATTCTTGAATGGCATCTGTTATGTGAGGGACAACCTAACAAGGGAAAAAGCATAACACTAAATAAGATAAAGCCATAAACCATGTATTGTATATATATACGTGTGCATATATATATATATATATATATATATATATATATATATATATATATATATACACTCTAAAAGTAAAAACAAACCTGAACAGTGATTCCCAAATAAACTCCTCTTCTCTCCTTATCAATAACTAGTTTAACCTATATGATGCATGAAAACATATAGGGAGTAACAATTTCATGTTTTGGGCACGTTTCAATATCAAAAGCTCTCATTTAAATGGATAGTTAGTTGTTGATAGGATCTCACATCGGCTCCACAAGAGATTGTGGAGTGGTACTTAAGTTGGGGCCAAACCTCCACTCATGAGCTAGCTTTTGTGGTAGAGTTAGGGTTTTGATTTGGGTACCGTATCATACGGTGCTCTTGTTGAGAGGCGGGAGTATGGTGGGTGTTAGGAACAAGTGTAATTAAATTTTGATGACACCAAACTCACTAGGATTGTAGACCCCTATTTTTCCTTTTGTAGTTAGAACTCTTATTTCAAACGAAAGTTATTGTAACTCAACAAATGATTCACACTAGTTGGTGCACAAATCTTAGTTGAGGCTAGCATAATAGGTCTACCCGAAGACATGAACAAGACAGACGAAAGATCGTTGAAGACAAAAGATGTAAGAACAAACTTTCGGATGAGCAACCATTTGACAAAGAGGATCTCTCCTCAAAGAGAAAGGTCGAAAGATAAGGACAATATTTCGAAGAACCTCTCCGAGAAAATAAGTTTAAGATAAACTTATAAGGACAACCTTCATTTAGTGAAGCAAGAAGAATGTTGTCTGTGACTCAAAGTTGGGCAATCATTTGGGACAAAAGGTGTCCTAGGAATGATTTTCACAAAAGACAAGGAGCATTAAAAGACTTGTACCATCTTGTCAGAGAACAATGACAAAAGCCATAATGCCTTTGGCTCCAACGGCTACACAGTACAGGTGCATTAAATGCTCGGTGTCCACTGATCAATACACACTGGTTATTAGGTTTGAAATCTTCATCTCCCTCTAATAGGTGAATTTTTCCCATCTATAAATACACTACTGGAAATTATGGAATTTCCGACCACCTGAAAGTGATCTTAAATCAAATTAATACCAAAAAGTGGTCAAAAATAGCAACAAAGGTTTTTTCGGATACCAAAAGTGGTCGAAACAAGGCTTTTGACTTGATTTAAGATCACTTTCAGGTGGTTGGAAATTCCATAATTTCCAGTAGTGATACCTCTCTTCACCATTGAAGAAGGTGTTGGTTAATTCAACAATTGCTATCCATCAAAAAAGCTCTTCAAACAGTTTCATCTCTTAAAAGCTTTTTATAACCAGTGATTCTGTGAAGTTTTCAAAAGGCTCATCCATTATCCACACTTCACAATCTTTGAAGAAGTCTTGCATCTTTTAACTTGAAGATTCATCTAGACATCAAGACAAGGCTTCAACCTGTTAGAGAAACACAACATCATCTTTCCAACACTCAACTCTTAGGAAGAAGTTGATAGAGGTGGAGTAAACTCGATGAGTTGAAAAACCTATCAAGTGGCTGTCCAGCTTAGTGATCAAGGAAGCCAGATTGAAGTAGTTTGTACTAGGAGTGATAGTGCAAACCCTTTCACAAGTTGTGGAAGCTAGAAGAGTGGAGTAGGCTTCGTTAACAACCAAACCACTATAAAAATCTCTCTCTCCATATCTCTTTAATTATAGCTCTTTATCTTTCGTGCATTGCATGTCATACTGACCAAACGCTAAAAGCTTCTAACGAAAGTGTGCAAAGCATGTTTAAGACGAAACCTTATTCCGCTATGCATCAATCCAAAAGGAGTACCTCTGTAAAATTGATTAGAGTCTATTCACCCCCCTCTAGACTCTCTTTCGACCCTGCCAGGACCAACAAGTGGTATCAGAGCAGTTGCCTTGTACGGTAAACGTTTTGTTTTACTGCCTGGTAGATCCCTTTTTACAAAGTCTATATAAGCTATTTTTTTTATTTTTTTTTTGTCTTTGCACCTATTTTCTTAAAAAGAAAAATGGAAAGAGATCATGCTAACCGGTCTAGGCCTCTTGCCTTTAATCTCTCTAAATTTGATGATTGCAAGTTAGGATGCAGGTCCATCTTTCGGCAATTCATGATGAGATGTGGGATGCCATAGAAGATTGTCCTATCGTGGTTATGATGGTGAATACACAAGCAGCTGCTCAAGGAGCAGATCCTGAAGTCATGATACCGAAACCTAAGTCTCAGCTCACCTCAGACGAAAAGACAAGAGCAAATCTCGACAACGTTTCACGAGATATACTCTACAAATCTCTAGATGACTCATTGTTTCCAAGAGTACGAAAATGCAGGACAACAAAAGAGATTTGGGATACTCTCATGAGCATAGGCGAAGGAGACGAACAAGAAAATGATAACAAGCTGACTGTCGCTATGAAGAAGTTTGAAGACTTCAAAATGCTGCCAAACGAAACCATCACCGACATGGAGCTTAGGTTCACGAAACTTATGGGTGACCTTTCAAATCTTGGAAGGGAGCTAACCTAAAAGGAGAAGAACCTAAAGATACTTCGAGGACTTCTAAAGTTATGGGAGATGAAAATCTCTCTCTCCATATCTCTTTAATTACTGCTCTTTATCTTTCGTGCATTGCATGTCATATTGACCAAACGCTAAAAGCTTCTAACAAAAGTGTGCAAAGCATATTTAAGACGAAACCTTATTCCGCTGTGCATCACTCGAAAAGGAGTACCTCTGTAAAATCGATTAGAATCTATTAACCCCCCCCCCCCCCCTAGACTCTCTTTCGACCCTACCGGGACCAACAGTGGGAAAGGGCTACCACTACAACAAATTGAATTTTTAGCAACAATGCAACATATAATTAGCACCTAGGGCTACCACTACAACAAATTGAATTTTTAGCAACATATAATTAGCACCTGGTGCTTGATAAGGTTCAAAGGGATTCGAGGAGAATCCGGAGTGAAAGCTATCTAGAGTGAAGTCGTCCACTCATTCGGTGTCGGCCTAGCGAAGGGGGTGACCTAGAAAAGGGCTACCTGGTAAGCCATCCAGAGGGGAAAAGGGCTACCTGGTGCTGAGAAGAATCCGGAGTGTTAACCGTCTAGAGTAAGCCGTCGTGGACGTCGGCTTCTCAAGGGGTGGGCAATGATATGATCCCACATCGGCTCGACAAGAGATTATGGAGTGGTACTTAAGTTGGGGCCAACCCTTCCTTCCCTCATGTGCTAGCTTTTGTGGTGGAGTTAGGGTCTTGACTTGGGTACCGTATCAGTTGTAGTATTTTATTAATTTCTAATTATTATGAAAATAATAGACAATTAATATTTATGAATTTTTTAGAAAATATACTTACAAATATATACTCCTATACTTATTATAATTAAACCTTTTCTACGTTTCGTGTCTCACATTTAAAAAAAAAAAAAACAAAATTGGCTACATAGCTTTTAGCACATATCAACGGAGAAATAAAATGCTTTTATTTCCACAGGCAGTTAGTTGATGGAAATTCATGGCTTTACAAACCCACCCACAATGCTCCATATAAGATATTTATTCTAATTAAGAGCAACCTCAACCGAATTGGTTATATGTACAATTGGCTTGACAACTATAAGATTTTTAATTTGACTTCCTGTGGTAGCTGTCTATAATCATTTTCAGTTTGAACCGATTTGTTCAGAACGGTAATCAGAATAGTACATATGAAGAGTAGTTCGAGAAATAACTACGCCGAGCAGTACCTACAAAAGGTACTCGAAATGTTATGTATGAGAAGTCAACTTCTTGCCTAGGCCGAAGAGTCACATTTTACTCTTCGATCAAACCTGGGTTGACCAGGAGGTATAAACCCACTTCTCGGACACATCGGCCTTGATCGAAGAGTCACATTTTACTCTTCGGTCAAACTTGGGTTGGCTGAGAGGTAAAAGCCCACTTCTCGGACAAATCAGAGAAGTTACTCTTTGGACATCCTCCGAGAAGTAGCTTAATTTCTCGGACAATGGCAAAAATATTGAAAAATATTTTCGACGCTAGTGTTTTCAGGCTAATTTTGAGATTTGATATGCATCCTCCTTGCGTGCGAGAGAGAGCATATATGCTATACAATTTAACTTCCCTATAAAAGAGTCTTGTATATATAGTGGTGGAAATTCCCTTCGTTTTCCATTGTTGGACATAGTGCTTCCTAGACTTTCCACCTTCATTTTCCAACTCAAATGAGTCTACTTTGATAATCAAATTTTCATTAATCCATAATCCATTTTGAGCGTAAAATATAGCGATCTCTTTGTCTCACTATGCAGAACCTAAATCCACTTTGACCCGACCCAAATTAGAAGTTGACCACACATATATTTGTACAACAAAACAACCACTTAAAATGTCATTTCATGCTATTTTTCCAACACAATCATGCCAAGAAAATATATACTTTGGGATCAGTCTCAGCCAAGTTGGTTGAATAATTAGTTTGGTAATCACAAAGTTTCAAATTTTATTCTTTGTAAGAGCTATCTATTGACATTCTCGATTTAAACTAATCAGCTATGAGCAAACAAAGTTGGTTTGCTAGTTTAGCTCATTGTGGTCCTTTGGTGGTTAAGGTCACAAGGTAGATTTTGCCTAGCAGAGTAGCGGTGGTAGACTTTCATGTAAATAAAAAAAATGTTTACTCTTCTTTAATTTGTCTGAATTTATACAAAATATATAGCAAAGAATTTGATTTCATTTTCATTTACTCTTCTTTGTCTGAGTTATCTCATTATGACACTTTGTATAAGTTGATTCCTATCTTTTACTCCTATACTCATATTCTTGATGTTGACACTTTTTAAGGATTCAAATGATGAATATAACTTATCAGTGTTTGTCATATTAGGAGTAAAAGTAATGCAATAGATATTAACGGAGCGTTTTGTTGGAGGAAGGGAATTACGTGGGAAAGGAATTACAATTCCATGGGATATGAATTACTGGAACTAAAGTAGAAATTTAAATTACAGTGTTTTGTTTATAGGAATAGAATTATTGGGAATTTAAATTTCAATGTTTGGTATATATGAGAATTGAAAGGGAATAAGTAGTATAAAGTCTAAAATGCCTACTACTACTATTATTATTATTATTATTATTATTATTATTATTATTATTATTATTATTATTATTATTATTATTTAGTATTATTATTATTATTATTATTATTTAGTATTATTATTATTATTATTATTATTATTATTATTATTATTATTATTATTATTATTAATTCTAAATGACCAAATTCAAATTTTACTTTTGAAAATTTATGTAACACGCTATAAATAAACTCTAAAATTGCGTAACGAAAGCAATAAAATATATAATGGAGTTTTGAGAACACATATTTGATTGGGGTTGACCTATTGATGGACGTTATGTGTTGAGAGTAGTAGAAGAAGACACACTATAATCGAAAGAGGGAGGTCAAACATCACTTTTAGGTTAAAAAAAGAGATGGGTAATTTTGTCTCAAAGTTATATTTTTTCTTCCTAAAATCCATGGAATTGAAATTAAATAGCAATGTGGGGCATGGGATTCTAATTCTATGAAAATGAGGAAATTTCAATTTCGCGGAATTTAAATTCCATCTAACCAAACGGAGGAATTTGCTTGCATGCGGAATTATGTGGGATTAAGGGTCCGTTTGGAAAGCAGGAAAATGACTTCTGGAAAATGTTTTCTGGAAAATGAGTCATTTTCCTTTCCAGTGTTTGGTTGCATTATGGAAAACTGTTTTTCTGTGTTTGGTTCATTTTCTGGAAAATGAGTAGAATTGTATAATTAAACATTTTAATTATTTTATTTAGAATATTACAACATGTATAATAATATAATAATATAATATTAATTTTAAATATAATAAAAAATAGCTAAGTTTTTCAAAAAAAAAAAATTAATAATATATCAAAAATATTATGGTGGTGGTGGTGGTGGTGTAGTGGTAGTGGTGTTATTCGTTATATAATAATAATAATAATAATAATAATAATAATAATAATAATAATAATAATAATAATAATAATTGGTGGTGGTATGACGGTGGTGGTGTGGTGGCGGTGGTATGGTGGTGGTAGCGACGGTGGTGGTTGCGGTGGTATGGTCGTGGAGGTGGCGGCGGCGGCGGTGTGATGGTGGTGGCGGTGGTTGCGGTGGTATGGTGGTGGCAGCGGCGACGGTGGTTGCGGTAGTATGCTGGTGGTGGCGGCGACGGCGGTAGTGGTGTTTGTGTGATGGTGGTGGTAGTATGACGGTGGTGGCAGTGGTCGTGTGGTTGCGGTGGTGGTGGCGGCGACGGTGGTTGCGGTGGTATGATGGTGGTGGTGGCGGCGGTGGTTGCGGTGGTATGGTGGTGGTGGTGGCGGCGGCGGCGGTGGCGGTGTGATGGCGGTGGTGTGGTGGTGGTGGTGGTGGCGGTGGTATGGTGGTGATGGCGGTGGTATGGTGGTAGTGGTGGCGGCGATGGTGGTTGTGGTGGTATGGTGGTGGTGGCGGTGGTAGCGGCGACAGTGGTTGTAGTGGTATGGTGGTGGTGGTGGTGGTGGCGGCGGCGGTGGTTGCGGTGGTATGGTGGTAGTGGTGGTGGCGACGGTGGTTGCGGTGGTATGGTGGTGGTGGTGGCGACGGCGGTGGTGTGAAGGTGGTGGTGTGGTGGTGGTGTGGTGGCGGTGGTATGTGGTGGTGGTGGCGGTGGTAGTGGTTGCGGTGTTGGTGGTGGTTGTGGTGGTGGTGTGATGGTGGCGGGGGTATAGTGGTGGTGGCGGCGACAATAGTGGTGGTGATGGTGGTGGTGTTGATGATGTTGGTGGTGGTGTGATGTTGGTGTAAAAGTTGGAAAATGACTTCCCCCCAAAAAAAGGGGAAGTCATTTTCCTCCAAAACAAGCCTATTTTCCAAAGTCAACGGAAAATGATTTCCGTTGACTTGATTTTCCAGGCACATCCAAACACTGGAAACTTGAAAAATGATTTCCAGAACTCATTTTCCAGGTTTCCAAACACACCCTAAGTGGAAAGGGAATTGTAATTCCCTCTAGCCAAACGCCCCATAATAGTACATGTAGACATGTAGTACAACTCTTTGCAATTCACCAATTATTTTCTTTACATTCCTGTAATTTCAACTCACCACCATGATAATAATATTTTAATTAATTAAAAAAAATCTCATTGAAGTTAAATGTTTTGCATTTCTCTCTCTGCTTGTGATGGAATAGATATTCATTTTCTTTATAAAAAATGAAGCAGAGGGATTTAATTCTATTGATTTTTCTTTTGTAAGTAGATGAGTGTGCAAATGGTTATGCCGGTCTCTCCAGGTTGTTGTTGAAAATGAAAGGACTTCAAAAGAATACATTTGGGTGTTGTCAAATTTTTGGAACGAAAATCCACACAAATAGCTTTCAAAAAAATAAATAAATAAATAAAAATTGGGGGTTTATTTGAGGTGGTACAAAAATGGAAGAGGAATATTATTTTCTATT